ACTGCTGTTTGTTGGCTATCACAAACATGTCCGTCGCATTTGTGAGCATAATTCATTGCATGAGTGGAGTTAGTGTAAGACTAGAATAACCCAATGAGTAAAATCCATTGTTACAGAGTTTCTTTCGAATTACCCATTCCTTTGAATCAAATGCGATTGCTTACATATCTCTGACATTGAAAAGCACACTTGATGAGACACTTGGCATAAGATGTTGGGTGTGACTACTGGAGTTAGTTTCTCCCTTCGAATCATTCGCCACTTGGATCAAAAATGACTCGTCCTTTATCCGAAATGAAAATAAATCCAACTGTTGGTGACGTCTGACAGCCGAAACACCAATAATCTTCCGGGGTTCCAAGGTGCAATTTGATTAGTTGGATTCACTCGATTCACTGAGGGGGGAATTAAAAAGAAAATTATACTGAGCTGACGCACTACTCATTTCCTCCACGAATGTAGTCAGAAAAACAGCCTGACTTATTAAGAATTGGAAATTTCAACATCCTGTTCTTTGAAAATGCAGAATCGTCATTGAAGCGAGTGAACACATTTCACAAATGAAACGAAATAATCACTAACAACTGTCAATAACTTATTAGGCGTTTTATAGTTTATGAGTTCCCTGTTTTATACAGAATAAATCACGTGAAATTCACCTTGGATTAAGCAATACTTTATTCCTCTTTTGTCACAACTCTAACATTGCCAAGTGTGAAGAGGTGGATCAGGCAGGGCGAGAGCTGAAATGCTTGTTCTCAATCAGTATACATTGTAGCAGTAGCTGAGAGAGTTTAGCTCAAAATGAATGAAGACGGATGGATGGATGATGATGATGATGATGATGATGATGATGATGATGATGATGATGATGATGGTGTTGATCATGATCGTGATTATAATAATGAAAATGACGATGATGATATTGAAGATGGCGATGATGATTCGGATGATGATGCTGCCGCTGCTGCTGCTGCTGCTGCTGCTGCTGATGATGATGATGATGATGATGATGNCACCGCTGCTAGTAACTTTTATTTAGAAGGTAAAAATTATTGATGATAGTGATGGTGGCGGTGGTGGTGATGATAACTTGGATTATGAATTAGATGGTGATAAATACAATGATGTTATTGCTCATGGGACTACGACTGAAATTTCCGGCGAGATTTTTGTGATACTATGATTCACATTTTTGCTATGCTAGCTATTTTACGAGCAAAAACGAACAATCGGATGTCGTTTCAAAACGCAACAATACACACACAAAGTTTTCCCACTTGTCAACAAGTCCGTAATCGTAATCATGCTAATACTCGTAGGAAAATTTCTGCCTAAACGCTAACGTTTAGGTCCTAACGGTATTACAGATCATAAATAATATACAAGACTTACACGAAAATCCGGGACCACACCCTGATGTTTATGCTTCAAATAGGTGGGATCCACGTTGAACGACTTGATAACCCAATCCACCTCCTTGAACCTGTGCAAAGATAAAAAGGGATCAAGTCAATGTGTGTGTGCAACGCCCTGTATCTCATTGCTGCTTGACAAAACTACGTTGTCTAGGCTTATTGAAAACCAGGTGTGAAATCACTGTGATTTTGAGGTTAATGCTACAGGACAACTTGTCCTGACAAATTGTCCCTTTGGTCTAACAATTGCAAAGAATGCAGCTTAATCAAATTGTTGGTTAGTATAAACCGGTTGCAAATTGTTGAATAGCGATTGCTAGACCTCATAGTCCCGACGTTAGTGAATGACTGTATCAATCGAGATGGTATTAAGTGAAATGAACACCAGGCTGTTGCCGTTTGACGAGGCAATTCTCATTAAAATTCGCAACCCGATCTTGTGCGCACAAACGTGTCTGAGGCAAACAGTCAAACTGCCATGGAACCGATTCACCTGAACACCCTACCCACCACCACGGCTCCTCTGACTATTGTCTGTTAACTCACTGTAGTTATCAAAACTTTCTTGTATAAATGCTAAATTGTTTTTACGTGGTAGCCATTGGGGATAGACGGATAGAGGGTAACATCCCACACTATTTCTCTGACTTCTGTTTTGAGGAATGGTGTATATTGAGAACTCAGAATTGGACGCTTACCTTGTCCAAACGTTCATTTAGGCTCACAGCATAACCGAACTGGTGTTTTGTATTTGTATAGGTATAACTTTTGCAAGCTGAGATATGCTTACAGTTCAGTTAAAAATTTTACACTGGTCGTCACACCGGAGGCAATACAGAAGTATAGACAAATCCAATAGAGTGCTGTGTAAAAGAAGTGTCTCCGAAGTTTGATTGACTCAAGTAAAGATTGATGTAATTCATTTCTAACTCATCCCTTATTGGTCAAGATTCGAGCCAGATATGGTACAGGTGAGTTTAAATAAATGTTTGTTCGAGAGAGTAAATACCCTCAAGAGGAACGAGTGATGGAGTGGAAGCGGCAAGAAGATTAGTTGAAATGCAAAGAATGGAAAGGGTCATTTCGAATCTGATTTGAAAAGGTCATGCAATACTTTATATGGCCATCAATAAGTTCTGACTCGGCAGAAATTAAAGATGCAAAACTTATTATCATCAATCCACGACGGATAGTTTTAAAGTATTGTCTAAATAGAGCTTTGATTAACAAAGAAGAACGAAACTTGTTGGGAAGTGCGAAGTTGTCTGAGCTTTCGGAGCTGAAACGAAAGGCATGGACGTTTTCGTATACAGTTCTGGATGTGTGTCGACCACCAACGATTATTGCCGGTAGTAACACCCAGATATTTGGCTGAGGTCACTCTAGACAAAAGGTTACTATTAAGGGTTACAGAGTCTGACGGGAATGTAGAGCGGGAAGAACTAAAAATGCACTCCAAGCACTTGGATGTGTTAAGATTAAGGCCAGACTGGTTTGAAAACTGTTCGATTCGGGACAGATTTTCAGTAAAGAAGGAAAATCCCGAAGAAGAGACGGTCTGACATAAAACGACATGATGAGAATAATTTTGGATATGAGGAGGTTGTGGAACTGAAGGATCACTACTGAAAGCACAGAGAAGATACGGAGAGAACAGATCACCTTGAAGCACACTAGAGTTATTGACTAGAGGACTTGAGGTATTCTTGTCCAGCTTTGTGCACTGGATTCTTTCGGTAAAATAATCGGAAAGCCACGAAAGCAGCTGTCTCGGGGTGCCAAAAGATTCAAGCTTAAAAAGGAGGGACGACCGGGACTTAGAATCAAAAGCAGACGAATAATCGAGAAAAACGCAACGAACAGATTTGGCAGAGCTGTTCAATTACTTCCTTATAAAATGGACCGGAGTAGACACAGCATCTATAGTGGATCTGTTTGGTTTATACTCGAACTAAAGAGTATCATGGGAATTGTGAAAAGCGAGGATTTAACATATCAGCTCATGCGTGACTTCCAAACAGGTGGGCAAATTCTCGGTCTGACACCTTTCTAAATAAATAATCAGATGGTGCTAAGCGAATCAAGATTCACAGAGAATCAGTCGTACTAGTGGTTGATCGCAAACTCAGATCGGATTGAGATTAGACCTGTTTGGATTGGCCCATTCATTTTTTTACCCAGCCACTGTTGAGGTGATCTGGGATAGTGGTTTCCCTATTTGGAAGGTTGTTAATTCCCCATGAGGTAAATGCACTGATAAGACCATCCACAATGCCTGGTGCCTGTGAAAAAAAAACGAATGAGCTAATCCAAACATTCCACGTATGAATTGATTAAGCCAGTCGCAGAAGGTGATGACCGTCGGCCCTGTAGCTCAAGACAGTTTGAAGAGCCTACCCGAAGGTTCGCGGTTAGATTCCTCATAGGGACACTTCTGACGAGCCCAAAACAGGACGAAACAGCTGTTCAGTGCTCTTTCTCGATGAAGTCAAAGATTACCGATCGGATTTAGAAAACTAGTCGATGAGCGAACTATTGTTTTTGGATATTCCTAGTCACATAGTGGTAAAATTCTCACATAACAATAACCCCTGACTCAATTTAAGGTCATCATTATTTGTAGATCAGATTTGTTTCCTTCTGCCCCCGGTGCCAGTTTGATCCAATCCGAATTCCACAATGTTGGCCCATCCATCCATCGCCCGACCCAGCCTACTGGGATAAACAGTGTCAAGTGTGCAGACTTACCAAACACAAGAGCAATCGAAATTGACCAGGAGCCATTTATGCGCATTGAACACAAATGACATGGCATACTGTGCGCGAGTGGGCGTTTACGTGAGTTTGGGTGGGTGGGACAATGTAGCCCGGGGAGAAGGCACCGTCGACAGAAACGAAGAGACGGGCGGGAGAGATATGAGGGATAAAATTGAAATGGTGAGTGCTATGTGTGTGTGTG